TGTCAGAAAGTCATCCCTGTGTGAATGACCAATAATGACATGAACATCTCTATGGAAGATGCTAGATCTTCCCCAAAATGAAGAGTAAGATAGTAGTCTTCCATCCCTCTCTGCATCAAGGTTAAAGCACAAAAGTCTCCCTTTTGCAATGGCACATGTGTTCCATTAAGAAAAGAGAGTGAACCAAGGGGTATTTTCTGACCCTTTCACTCCCTCTGTTCTTCCTTAACTTTAAACCCTGGTGACGTTGAGAAGATTTTGGCATAATGATACAACGGATTGGTGTTATGAGAAGTGATCAGCACTGATGATAGAGAAGTCTGATTGCTTTGTAGAGAGGAACTCTGAAGAATCTGAGAATGCAGGGTGAACAGTTTTCCAGGCTTTGGCAATGTGGGGCAAATGTAAGATGAAGTCAGAGTTCTGGAGCAAAGAGAGAAGGTACAAGTGAAGGAGGGAAGGCACAGTGACAAAATTAAAGGGCTTTGGGGACCCATCTGAGGGCAGTCAGATTACAACTTTAAATGTTTTTCACCACCAGTTTTGTCTTAATAGCCACCATATTCTCAGTTTCTAGAACTACTCTACTAGTGGTCAACTGCCTCAGGCAATGATTCAAGAAGACTTCAGAAAGTACTTCGGTCTAATTAGTATAAGAGATTTTTATTTTAAAATGCATTTTCATATGCAAAGTTGTTCATGATTATTCATCTTTACATTATTCCTGCTTCCTGTTTCCGTGACTCCATGACTTTCATATTATCTTCACATTACCCTCCTGAAATGCAGCATAAACATGTCATTTCGATCAGTTATTCCGGTAGTTCTCATTTAGAATGAACTCTGTATCATAGCCTAGCATGTGAGGCACTCTGGCTTATTGCCTCTTGTCTTCTCTTGCCTCAATCCCTGCCACTTCCTTCTTCACACTTTGTATTCCAGCAATATTAACTGGACACCGGTTGCTACTAACTTATCCCTAAATTTTCCTGGAGTTCACAAAAAAGACACCCAAATCTTCTTTAGCACCATCTTCTCTGCAAAGTCTTTGTTAACCTTCATAGAGAGAATTATTCAAATATCTCTTGTGCTACATTTCTATCTTACTTATTTCAGATTATTGATTTTACACTGTTTTAATTTTTTTTTCCTTAAGAGCTGTGAGACTTTTGTGGAAAAATGTTGTCTTATTCAGTTTTATCGCAATGATGCCTGATATTTTTACTAGTTAATGATATTTTGGATTGAACTGAACTTTTGATCAAGATCTACTAATAATCAGACATTACTTATTGTGTGTGACCTTTTGACATGCCCATATGGAGAAGGCTAACTCTGATATGTAAATCACATTCCTCATGCTAAAGAAGCTAACATTACATTTGGGTAAAAAAATATCAGAAAGGAACTAAAACTGAAAAGACACCATAATTGTCAAATGAAATTGAACCTAAATAATCTGAAAGAGACCATACATTTTAGAGTAAATAGTAAACACAGCACTTTCAAAGTATAATAAAAGGAAGTTTTATTCATGTAATTACTTTCAATTAAGAAACTAAAGATCATTTTGATCAAAATAAGGAAAATTTTATTAATAACTGACTACATCGGAGCAATGATTCAAGTCGATGTCGGAAACTACTTTGGTCTAATTAGTACAACATGTTTTTATTTTAAAATGCATTTTCATACTCAAAGTGGCTATTTATTAATTTCTCCAAAATAAATATCAAAGTAAGAAATGGCCGGCATTGACATCAATATCCGTGAATAGAAACACAGACAGTTTTCCTGCATTTAAGCGAAGCAGCCCTTTATTCCCATTTAATTCTGTGAGCCACCCACATAATAAATCTGTACACTGAAGGGACAATGAGCTGAAAGAAACATAAGGTAAGCAGAATTACAACTTACTTCGAAATGAGGCAAAATAGTGGCCCTTAATTGAAATACGTTCAGAGTAGTTGAGGAATTAAGAAGACATTCAAGTCAGCAATATACATAGCTGTAACAATGAGCTAAGGAAAGCATACGACAATATCATAGGTGATAATCAATTTTAAGTCAAGGTTCATCAAAGCCAATGAACTCATGCCAAAATTAATTTCATATATACCATGGATATGTTAAATAAATTGTTTCAGAAAAAGAAGTAATCAGTGCCAGTCAGCTGGCCTATTGAGAGAAAAAAAATGTTGGCACAAATGGAGCTGAAGGAAAACAGAATTTGGATAATCAAAGAACGGCATGTGCATATACAACAGATGAAGGACTAGCTTGACAGAAGATACATGTACCCATGATGGGACTGATTTTGCAAGTTTTGGAAGCCATTTGTTATTTTTCACTAAAATCTTATGGAAGAAATGTTAGCAAAATTAATTCTGGCAGCAAAATGCAAGGTGGACTGACACATAGGCAGACTGGCACATAGACACACTGGCATATAGGCAAAAGAAGACGAATGAATAAAACTCATGCAATAATACAAAAGGAAGTGAGGCAAAGACAGTGCAACTGGAATGGGAAAACAGGATAAATGGAAAGATGACCCAAATTAAGAAATGAGTGAATGAACACAACTGACAAAAGAAAAAGATGAGATTTAGAGAATTAAAGAGAGGGAAGAATCATAGATGCTTAATAACACTTGCATTGTTAAAATATAAAAATAAAAACAGTATAATGAGTAGAATAGACAGAAAGGAGCATGACTGGTGGTAATTTAACAGATTAAGGTTTGTACCTATTGCACATAGGTTGATTAGAGACAAAAAATATAGTACTAAATTCTGAATTTGGAAACTCTTCCTCATTTTTCACAATATGTTGAGTGAAGATCACATAAGGTAAACTGAAAAAAACCCATGAGTTATTGAAATATTTTGGTATCTTGCTATACCTGAATTACTATTGTACAAAGACCTAATGTGATCTTAGGCATTTTTCCTAGAAATAAAAGTCTTGAGATAAAATTCTCAGGAAAAATAGAGTTAGAAACTTTTTTCTAAAAAAAAATTGATAAGCTTTGCGCAGTGGCAGTATCATAGCCAATGAGGTTTATCTGAGGCGCGATTATTGCTAATTAAAAAAATTGATAATATTGAGTATGATGACAACTTGATTTACTTTAAACAATGCCAAAGTAGTGTCTGAATTTTTAAAGCATGCGCTGGAAATTTACTGATATCCATTGCTGTATCTACTAACTACATGACTGGTCTTTCTTCCTTTTGTATTTTTTTTTTTTTAATTTCTTATTCTCTTAAAGGTTTTACTTATTTGAGAAAGAGAGAGAGAGAGGATGAGCAGGGGGGAGGGGAAGAGGGAGAGGAAGCAGACTCCCCGCCGAGCAGCGAGCCGGATTCCGGACTCGATCCCAAGACGCTGGGATCGTGACCCGAGCCAAAGGCAGTTGCTTGATTGACGGGGCCACCCAGTTGCCCATCTTTCTATCTTTTTTAAATTGAAGCCTTGAAGATATGGTTGAAGAAAATATTATTTATTTGAACTAATGATTTTACAGGAGCCAACACATAACAATAAATTTCACGAACAGAAGCCATTAATCAGGATTAATTTGGGAGGAATCATGGACCCCTTACTCAATTTTACATATGTTAAAAGAAATTTGGATTTTATAATGAAAACCATGCTCCGGTTTTAGGGTTTTGTTTTTGTTTTTGTTTTTTTACGTATTACTAATTGCTAGAGTATCATTATATTATGAAGGAGAAATATGTTTTTTCCGGTTCTTACGTTAGAAAAAAAGCCACTATGGGGACTCACTAATTTAGCTTTAAGTCTTGTTATTTAGTGTAGTTCACAGAGCAACAGATTTTGCATCACTCAGGAGCTTTTTAGAAATGGAATTTCCAGTCCATTCCAAGTTTCTGAATCAGAATCTGCTTTCACACAAGATCTCCAGGTGATTCCTATCTCCATTAAAGTTTGAAAAGCACTAAATTAGCCTTATATAAACTGATCCGCCCAGTTCCATCTGGCGGGTAACAATCCTTAAGATGAGTTATGATACATGTTTGAAGGTTTTATGAGAATGATGTTAAGGAATTTATTTAATGCTGGGGGAAATAAAACCGTTATTACTGAAAACCTAGGACTGTCAGGTACTGTGTTAGACATTTCCAAATCTATTAATTCATTTAATTCTTAACAATATTCTCTGAGGTAAGGGCACTATCTTCATGTCTCTGGGCATGAAAAACAGCCTCAGGTTAAATACCGCATCTATTCCACAATCAATAAATTGAATAAATATTGAGCAACCCATTTCTGAAAGTCCCTGAGTTAGGCCTAGAAATAAAATGGGCATGGCCCCCTACTGTCATGGAATTGCAAGGGTAGTGTGAGTTTCTAAGAGGGAAATCTAAACTTTCCTAAGTTACTTAGGGAAAACTTCTATTTGGAAAGAGTATTTAAACTGATTTCTGAGAAGCACATTTTTGTAAAGGTGGCCCTGAACAAAACAAACAAACGAGTGTGTCTGTCATGGATTTTATTTTATTTATCTATTTTAAGATTTTATTTATTTATTTGACAGAGAGAGACACAGCGAGAGAGGGAACACAAGCAGGCGGAGTGGGAGAGGGAGAAGCAGGCTCCCTGCGAGCAGGGAGCCCGATGCGGGGCTGGATCCCAGGACCCTGGGACCATGACCCCAGCCGAAGGCAGACGCTTAGCGACTGAGCCACCCGGGGGGCCCCTGTCATGGATTTTAGTAAGGGGAACCAAGCAGCAAGTTGAGGCTGGACCTTGGCAGGAATACTGCAAAACTTTGTGGCACAAGGTGAGGCTGTTGGGCCTCATGCACGACTCAGAGGAAGCCACTGGAGGATCATAAGCAAGGAAGTGACAAGCCCTGATCCACGTTCGGGAAAGATCCTTCCGTGAGACCTGTGCAAAGCCCTGCGGGCGGGTGGGTTCATTAGGGCCACTCCCCTAGTCAGCCTTTCTCCACCCAAGTCACCGCCTCCCGCTTCTCAGCGTAACTGTCTGAGGGAGGTGGGAAATGTATGCGAGGGGCGGGGGGAAGAAAAACCTTCTCCAAAAATACTAAAAAGAAAGCGTCCCACTTGGCCGCGGGTGCGCGGGAAGTTCCGCGCGCGAGTTCCGGGTTTCCCGCCGGCCGCCAGCCCGGGTGAGCCCCCAGCCCCGCTCGGCCGCAGCCTGCTGGGCCGCGTCCGTCGGTCGGTCCGCTTCCCCTGCCCCCACCCGCCCATTCTCAGGCGCCGCGCGGGGCCGGCCGCGCCGAGAGTGGCCGGGTTTGTCAGCGCGCCCGCAGCCCGCGTTGGCCCCGGCCGCGCCTCGGCCGCTGCGCTTGCACCGCTCGGCCCGGGCGGGTTCGGGTCTCGCCGGGCCCTGCGCCCTCCGCCCGCGCGGCGCGGCCGGAGCCGCCGCCTCCAGCGCCACTTGTGGAGTTCTTCCCCCGGCGGCGGTAACTTTACACTAGCCTGAGAGAGGCCTGCTTTTATGCAGAAACCGGCGACCAGAGTCTATGGAGGACGCTCCGCTGGAGGGCCAGCCCGCCACTTGAGGATTTCTCCCAGATTGGTGGGGAAGGAACGTCTTGCCCTACGAGCCTTTCTCTGAGATTTCAGAATCCTGCGGCCATCATACAATTAGAGCGGAATTGGTTGCTCGCGGGGGCGGGGAGCTTTGGGATCAGCTGTTGCCCTAACCTGGCGGAGCCGACGCCGAACCCCACCTCTCGGCCTCTGAGCCCTGAGACCATCACGCAAAGCCCGGCCCAGACCGTGCCCTGGTCACCTTCCTGCTGGAATCGTTCCAAGAGCTGTTAGGGACAGGCTCGCTCACGGTGGGGAGGAGCAAAGAGATGAATGTAGCAGCCAAGTACCGCCAGGCATCCCTGTACGTGGGTGATCTCAATGCAGATGTCACGGAGGACCTGCTGTTCAAAAAGTTCAGCACCGTGGGGCCTGTGCTGTCCATCCGCATCTGCAGGGACCTGGTCACCCGCCGCTCCCTGGGCTATGCCTACGTGAACTTTCTGAAGCTGGCTGATGCCCAGAAGGCCCTGGACACAATGAACTTTGACATGATAAAAGGCAGACCCATCCGTCTCATGTGGTCTCAACGTGATGCCTACTTAAGGAAATCTGGCATTGGGAACGTGTTCATCAAGAATCTGGACAAATCTGTTGATAACAAAACCCTTTATGAACATTTTTCAGCTTTTGGGAAGATCCTGTCCTCCAAGGTGATGAGTGACGATCAAGGCTCTAGGGGCTATGCATTTGTGCACTTCCAGAACCAGATCGCGGCCGACAGGGCCATCGAGGAGATGAATGGGGCCCTGCTTAAGGACTGCAGGCTGTTTGTTGGCAGATTCAAGAACCGGAAAGATCGGGAAGCCGAGCTCCAAAACAAGGTCAATGAATTCACCAATGTTTACATCAAAAACTTTGGAGATGACATGGATGATGAGAGACTGAAGGAAGCTTTTGGTAAATATGGCAAAACCCTGAGTGTTAAGGTGATGACAGATTCCAGTGGGAAATCCAAAGGCTTTGGCTTTGTGAGTTTTGATAGCCATGAGGCTGCCAAAAGGGCTGTTGAAGAAATGAATGGGAAGGACATAAACGGACAGCTGCTTTTTGTAGGCCGGGCGCAAAAGAAATCAGAGCGGCAGGCGGAGTTAAAGCAAATGTTTGAGCAGCTGAAACAGGAAAGATTTCGGAGATGCCAGGGCATGAAGCTCTATATTAAGAACCTCGATGATACCATTGATGATGAAAAACTGTGGAGGGAATTTTCTTCGTTTGGGTCAATTAGCAGAGTCAAGATAATGCGGGAAGAAGGGCGAAGCAAAGGGTTTGGCTTGATCTGCTTCTCCTCTCCTGAGGAGGCCACTAAAGCAATGGCTGAGATGAATGGCCGAATCTTGGGCTCCAAGCCACTCTACGTCGCCCTGGCCCAGAGGCCCTAGGAGAGAAAAACTTACTGCACCAGCCAGTGTTTGCAGCAGGCGTGCGAATGATAGTGATCTCTGCCTTTGAATTATCCTCAGAAAATTTCAAATCCCAGCTGATGGCCGCTTAGTTTAGTAAACTTTGTGATAAAAGGTTTTGTATACAAAGCTATTTTTTCTTGTGCGGAAAAATAAATGAATCTTGGAAGCTTGATTCATTTTACAGAGGCACATCTTCTAATCACAATGTTACATATTTCTCTGTTTTTGATTTAGTATTCAAAGCAATAAGTATAATTAGATATATTTTTATTACATTTTGAACCATCTGAAGTGAGGTAATTATTTGAGTTTATTTCATATTTTCCTTCTTATTTTAATAATATTGCTAGCTTTAATTTCTTCTATGAAAATACGCTAAAAATAGTTCTTATACCTAAGGATCACAAAGTAATTTATTTTTACAAACAGAAATTTTCTAATTTCTCCTCTAAGCTTTTTAAAGAAACCAAAGATTTAAGAATTGCTAGTATAAATCTAATTTCATTTTGAATTAATGTTTAAAGTACTAGGAAATAGTTGAATTTCTTTTGAATTTGTATCCTGACGTGATTGTTTTTTTTTTGATGGCTGAAATTAATGATGGAGTTTTTTAATGTTGCCTACAAACCTGATTTGTAGGATATTTTGCTATTCTTTCCATTGGTAGACTATATATAATTCATGTGCTTGCTAGTTATCAAAACTGGGACTTGAATAGTAAAACCTTAACTTCTACATTCTTTAAGTTATAAACTTTTATCAATAAGATGACAAAAAGTTGGCTTGGTCTTAATTCTCTTCATACCTATACAAGTTAGTATTATGACTTAAGTTTTTACCAGACACCAATATTATAAAAGTCATATATAGAGAATATAGAAATTCTGTTTAACAATTCTTTTTCAATCTCTATTTTATATTGTTCGATGTAATGGTATTATCTCAGGGTTCAGAAAAGTATGTTTCTTTATTTTTATGAACTCATATCTCTTTTTATTAGAAACGAGCGATACATAACCCATTAAGATTCAGTTTTAGCCTCAATTTATCAGAAGCTCACTAATTTTCTGATAAATTGAAATTACATCAATTTGCCTGTTTTCTAGAATAATATTTTAGTCCCATTCCAGACTTCCCTCTCTCGCCTACCCTTGATCTATATTACTCAGCTTTGCTTTATACTTTTTTAAAAAGGGTTTTATTATATTGATTTTTACTATATGCTATTTGAAATCCACCTTGGAAACAGAGACAAGAATTATTCATTTACACTTAAATAATTACTTTTAAAATTCTGTTTTACCAAAGGTGTCTGGAGAATAGCTTTGCTGTTCTTGTTGTTGCTATTTTATTTTATTTTATTTTAATCTTATTTTTTTTTTTTACTCTGCTTAGAGGTTTCCTGTAACCATATATTAAAGTCTTCTATTTCTTATATTACCAGTACAAAAGATATATTAAAAGATTTTCTTTGGCAATACTTTAGCTATGAAAGAATGAGAAAATCTGTTTCTGTTTATTTTTGTATAGACTATATGTTTATTCATGGCACATTTTCTAAATTAAAAGTCTCTTTTAGACAATGAAAAAATTATGGACAATGAAAAACTTACAGCAACATATAATACTATTATGCAGACAAATCTTCTGTTAAAATTTGTTGCATATCCTCCCAATTTTTTATACATATACACATAATTTAACAAAAATAGAATCATTATAACCTTATTACAAATTACTTTTTTTAATTTTATAATATGCCATATCAATTTCCATATCCACAAATAATTATTTGCATTATAATTTTAATGACTTTTATTCCTTCAATGTTTGTACTATAATATAATGAATTTCCTCTTGATATGGATAAAGGTTGTTAGATTGTTTCCTACCCTCCCCTTTTTTTCTTCTGTCATAAACAACTGGGAGATAAACATCCTTGCAAATTTATGTATGCTGATATATCCAGTTATTTTCTTAAGAAAATGTATAATTCATTGGAATTAATGTTTAAAGGGGCAGTAGTTTTAAAAATAATTTTGATAAATATTGCCCAAATGCTCTCCAGAAAACTTGCGCCATTTCCATTTCCATTTTCTGTGTGGAGGGCTGCCCATTTCCATATACTCCAAGAACAAGAGATTATTTTGTTTAAGGTGTTAGCCAATTCAAAATGATACATAAAGCAAAATATTTCATGGTTACTTTTTTTTTTTATTACTACAAAAGTTAAATACCATTTCTTGTGTTTGTTGGCCATCTGTGTTTTCATATTTATGAATTAATGTTTCATGATCTTCATCTGTTTTCCTTTTGGGTTGTTTTTATTTGTACGGATTTGTTACATTTCTTTACGTATTAAGAACAAAAGTTTAGACTTTTTTCCCCAATATTCTCACTTTGTTTATAGTTTTGAGGGTCATTCCAAAGTTAAATTTAAACTCAGAAATTTCAGTCTTTTACTTAGAAGGTTTTGATGTTATGATTCAAAACACTTTGAACAACTCAAATACACACACACGCACAATTAATCTGTATCGTCTTCTACTACTTTCAGAGTTTTCTTTCTCAATAATTTCTAAGCAAAACTTTTGTCTGTGAAGTATCTTATCCACAGTTGTAGTAAATCTCTTAAAAGTATCTTGCTTTTCAAGCTTTATTAATATGTTTGGTAAACACCTACCTCCTGTAAGAATCCATGTGACACTCATATGCCAACTTGAATACATTGGACCTTTGAATCACTGTGTTGAGAAGTATTTACCTCAAAAGCAGAGAGTTTTTAAGAAGACTGGGCAATAGGACTGGGAAATGTAGTAGGTGTGTCAAGCCTTGACATCTCTTTCTGGCTAAGCCAGTCTATCAAAGTGTTCAAATATTTGAACAATATTTCATAATGCTTGTAAATGGATTGTTAAGATAATATCAGGGAACTGAGTGCTATGTGCACAAGGAATTAATAGGACATAATATCAGATGTCTAGATGAATTGTAGCTGTAGCTTCATGACACAGTATTCTATCATTTTAGTAGAAATTGCTTATTTTTATATTTACCGTAAGAAATGACAAAGTAACTTTATAAAAAAAAATATAATCCTGTGGATTTTCTTGATTAATTTATTTGAATTTTGCTCATTTTCAATTTTGTGTGTGTGATAATGTCAAGTCATCCTAGTTGGCAGTACAGGTTCATTCTTTGAAGAAAATTTAATCATTATGCCCAAGTGCCTTGATAAATAAGAAGAATCTTTACTTTTCTGATAAGCATTCCAGTAAGAGCTAATTTACATAGATGCCTTGAGCCACTGCTTCTATTCTTGCCTTCCTCTACCTACAGATATTGCCAAGTTTGTTGTAGATACCTGCTGGCATGCATCGCCAATTCAATAAATGTGCCTTCTAACATTTACCTAAACATAAAAAAATTTCTAAATATTTTTAAATTTTTAAATGAAAATCTTTAGTTAGTAAAAAGAAACATTTTAAAGTGGTTTAGAATTGGTAATTTCAGGGCCTCTGGGTGGCTCAGTCGTTAAGCATCTGCCTTCGGCTCAGGTCATGGTCCCGGGGTCCTGGGATGGAGCCCCGCATCGAGCTCCCTGCTCCGCGGGAAGCCTGCTTCTCCCTCTCCCCCTCCCCCTGCTTGTGTCCCCTCTCTCACTGTGTCTCTCTCTGTCAAATAAATAAAATCTTAAAAAAAAAAAAAAGAATTGGTAATTTCATTTTCTCAATATTTTATAATAAACCCATCGAGAAAAGATCAAATAAGGTTTAATCTTGCAATGGTAAAGACATGTCTAAAAATGATTTTTTATTTAATTTTTAAGTATTTCTAATTTTCTAAAGATCACTTTGTCTTAGGAATAAACTGAAAACAACTTGCATTTTTAAATCAAGATATTCTTATTTCATGTTTTAAAACACCAACTTCCTTATGAACTAATATTTCTTTTACAGTCACTCACAATTATGGGACCATGATTGAAAAGAGCCACTAATATAGATCAAGTTTTCATGAGGAATAATTGACTATTTTTTAAAAAGATTTTATTTATGTATTTGACAGAGAAGAGAGAGCACAAGCAAGGGGAGTGGGAGAAGAAGAAAAGGTTCCCTGCTGAGCAGGGAACCCAACGCCAGGCTGGATCCCAGAACCCTGAGATCATGACCCAAGCCCAAGACAGACGCCCAACTGACTGAGCCATGCAGGCGCCTCAATAATTGACTATTTAATTGTTAAAGTAAAATTCAGCTAACATGTTGAGGATTTGGAATTAGCTTACTTGTATTTGGAAAATATGCCTCCTAATGTAATTTTTTTAAAAAAACATAGATAAAACATTAGATAAAAAAGATTTTTTTAATCTACATTTTGAAGAGTAGAACAAATTAAATATCCTTATGATATCTTTGGCTAACAGAAAATTCCAATTCACACTAGAAACGGAAATTTTAACTAACAAAATATTCAGTTTAAATATTTTCAGGCATAGTATACTAAGACTTCTGTAACATTTTGGAGTCTCTTGGCTCTTCCTCCCTGCCCCCCCCATCTCAGCTTTATTATCAGGCAAGTGGCAAGATGGCTGTAGGAATTTCTGTCATCATACTGAGACACAACAACATTCAGAAGGTGATATCTTTTCTAGAAACCTTTTAACAACTTTCTGCCTCAGTTCTTATTGTCCATTATTGGTATAGAGATTAAACAAGATCTGCCACTAGAATTGAAGAAGTAATCAACTTTCTTTTTTTTTTTTAAGATTTTGTTTATTTATTTGAGAGAGAGAGAGAGAGCACATGAGACGGGTGGAGGGTCAGAGGGAGAAGCAGACTCCCCGCCGAGCAGGGAGCCCAATGCGGGACTCGATCCCGGGACTCCAGGATCATGACCTGAGCCGAAGGCAGTCGCTTAACCAACTGAGCCACCCAGGCGCCCAACTTTCTAAGTTCTGGGCAGAATACACTTACGACAGGAAGATAGAAGAGTAAAAATGGATGTAGGAGTATGCATCCACTAAACCCTGGATATTTTTTACTTATATCTAATTTTGAATTTCAGTACTTATTTGATATTTTCTTCCTTCTTTTAACTTGTGCTTCCAAACAGTTCTTTTTTTTTTTTTTTAATGTTTTATTTATTTATTCATGAAAGTCAGAGAGAGAGAGAGGCAGAGAGAGAAGCAGGCTTCCCCCCTAGCAGGGAGCCCGATGTGGGACTCAATCCTAGGACCCTGGGATAATGACTGAGCCGAAGGCAGACGCTTAACCATCTGAGCCACCCAGGCACCCTCAAACAGTTCTTAAAATTCCATTTTCTCCCTACAAATAGTTTTGACATGAGTCAAAAGGTGATTTTTTTTCTACCTCAAATTGAACAGTCTTAAAGGACAAATTATGCAATGTATTCTGTATAAAATTAAATTCATTTTTGTTTGGTAACAGGACTCGTGTTTCTACATATCAAACTCTATTAGGTCTAAATTAAGCATCTGCTGAAAATTCTAACTGAAAAGGTTAGATTCAATTTAGTCACCCAAATGGGTTTCCACCAAAAATAATTGTCAAGAGATTACAATTGGTTTCTTAGAGTAATACTTGAAAATAAATCTACATCTAATAGGCATTGGTTTCTTGAGTTTTACTATAAGGTAGTCTAAGCTAAATATGTTTTCATGCATGCTCACATTTTAGAACCATACCACCAGAGAGAAGAGACTCTTAATTTACTGTGTATACAGGCATACCTCATTTTACTGTGCTTCACAGATACTGTGTTTTTTACAAATTCAAGGCTCATGACAACCCTGCATCGAGCAAGTCTACTGGCACCATTTTTTCCAACAGGATCTGCTCACTTGGTATCTCTGTGTCATATTTTGGTAATTCTTTCAATACTTCAATTTTTTTCATTATTATTATATTTGTTATGGTGATCTGTGATCACTGTTTATGACTTACTAAAAGCTCCGGTGGTTGGGGCTCCTGTGTGGCTCAGTTGTTAAGCGTCTGCCTTCGGCTCAGGTCATGATCCCAGGGTCCTCGGGGGTCTTGGGATTGAGCCCCACATCAGGCTTCCTGCTCAGCGGGAAGCCTGCTTGTCCCTCTTCCACTCCCCCTGCTTGTGTTCCCTCTCTCGCTTTGTCTTTCTCTGTCAAATAAATAAATAAAATCTTAAAAAAAAAAAAAAAAAGCTCCGGTGGTGGTTAGCATTTTTTAACAATAAAGTATTCTTAAATTAAGGTCTGTACAGGGGCGCCTGGGTGGCTCAGTCGTTAAGCGTCTGCCTTCGGCTCAGGTCATGGTCCCAAGGTCCTGGGATCGAGCCCCACATCGGGCTCCCTGCTCAGCGGGAAGCCTGCTTCTTCCTCTCCCACTCCCCCTGCTTGTGTTCCCTCTCTCACTGTGTCTCTCTGTCAAATAAGTAAATAAAATCTTTAAAAAATAAAAAAAATTAAAAAAAAATTAAGGTCTGTACATTGCATTTAGATATGATGCTATTGCACACTTAATAGACTACAGTATAACATAGACATAAATTTTATATGCACTGAAAAACCAAAAAAATCATTTGACTCACTTTATTGTGACATCCACTTTATTGCAGTGGTCTAGAACCAAACCCACAATATGTCTGAGGTATTCCTATATCACCAACTATTGTGATATTCTATATGAAAAATTTTAAAAGAAAGTTCCTACTGACAGTGTAACGAATAAATCTTGAGAAATATCTAAAATGTTATATGCGTATAAAATGTCTCCAATATATAAAACTAACAACCACAAAGATAAATTAATAGGTGCTCATTTTCTTTACTAAAATATTAGTTATTAGGTTCGTTAGTACACATAAATTATAGGAATTAACAAAATTGGACTTACCTAATGCTTACCAATTTATTTTTGTATACACAATTTGGTATAATCCTCATACATTTTAACCATACAACCTATATTAAAAAAAATACAGATATGCTAAATTCTGAGTTACAATTACATTTAGATTTAAATCTAAGGTCAGATTATTCTGCAAGTTTCCTCAGAAGAAATATTTATAGCTATGTGTTGGTTTTGTCTCATGGCCATATCTTATCTTAGTGTTCACAGAATCTCTTAACTATATTGAAGTTCCCTGAATGAAACAATTGAATCCATCAAGCAAGAGAAGAAAAATGATTCTATTAGTAGCCTTCTTTGCCATAGTAAAGAAAATGCTTAGCTTCTGAGAGATATTGGCAGTTTGTACAATGATATTGCATCAGATTTTGTTAACCCATTTATATTTACATCACTTATGTATTAAAAATACTCTCAGCTTGAAGTTCTGCCAAATACTAATAGCACATTTGAGTTCCAAAGGCAGTGTCACTGAAATGGTGGATGTTATTATATATTTTTTATTTATTTATTTATTTATTTATTTATTTATTTATTTATTTATTTGCTTTACGTAGAGTGAATATTGGTCATGATTCATTGTGAGTGGTGTGTATGTGTGTGTTTAATTTGGTATTTCCATTGGGACTTTCTTATCTCAGGAAACCATATCTGACAGTCTATAGTGAATCACGATTTTGATTTACCTTCCACTTTATCTTTTTACAGGCGCCGGTGACATACCAAGGCACCGCAGTTTTGACATATTGCCAATCCTAGGTTCTTGAAATTAAAGTAAGGCTCTATAATAGTAATTCCAGCAAGCCTTTGTTAATCAAAGAAGTACCTCAATTTGAATGCAAGCCAAATATCAGAATTATAACTAGACTATTTTGACACATCATTATTTTACTGAAATACCAAGGGAGGTGTTAGAAATTATAACCTAGTTTTATTCACCACTCTCTTCACTAATATTTCACGCATAGTATTTATACAAACGACATTTATATTGTATAGATTACAATTGGTAAAAAGCAATTGGCACTGAGGTTATGTGGACATTTATTTATTTGGACATTTGTTTTGATTTCAACGAAAATGAAACTGTCAAATGCAAATTTGATCATGTCATTCTGCTTAAGAACCTGTCATGGCCTTCCATTACTCTTAAAGTCAGGTGTAAATCTTTACCATGGCCGAGGAGGCCTTGCATTCTTTGGTCCCTGTGTGTTTTTCAATCCTTTTCTTATGCTACTATTTACCCCCTTAGTCGACTCGCTGGAAATAAATTGGTTTTATTTCAAGTATCAAGTATGAAGTTAATCCCTGCCTCATTCAGAGCTTTAACTTTTTATCAGATAGTGTGCTGTCTATTGCAAGGGGTAAGAGAAGCCTTCCAACTGGTTTATGAAAAAAAAAAAATGATGAGGGGAATTTATTGCCAAATCAAAGTTAAGTAAGAGATCTTCTTTTCAAAATGGAAGTATTTTTCTTTTCTTTTTTCTTTTTTCCTCACAGGGGCCAAGGAAGACTCCCTCTAGGGTGTTACCCTACAGAGGCAGCAGTACCTTTTTGAAATTATCCCACATGGCACAGTGTTGCAGGGAGAAAAAGCAAGTCTTTTGAAAAGGTCAGAGAAGCTCACCTTCAACCATTTGGAATGTTATTTTTAAATATTTCTTTCTTTTTTTTTTTTTTTTAACAAAAGCTCATTATCTTCCCTACCTATGCTTTTTCATGTCTTAGGATATAGAATGGTTATGTTTCTTTGTGGGAGATCTGATTTTATTCTAGAAGGAACCTGAGATGGAAACTGTGCTGCCAAAAAAGTAAAGCAGGTCCTAAGTCCTTAAGAAGATGACGTATGGGGTTTGGGGGTAGAGAAATAACACTCAGCAGCAAGTCATCACATCTCACCAAATTTCTTGTTGGGTATTGGCTTAGGAAGTACACACATAACAGTGGCATATTCCTAAGAAAAAGTATGGGTGAAAAAGCGTGGAGGGGGGCGCCTGGGTGGCTCAGTTGGTTGGGCGACTGCCTTCAGCTCAGGTCATGATCCTGGAGTCCCGGGATCGAGTCCCGCATCGGGCTCCCTGCTCGGCAGGGAGTCTGCATCTCCCTCTGATTCTCCCCCCCTCACATTCTCTCTCTCTGTCTCATTCTGTCTCTCAAATAAATAAATAAAATTAAAAAAAAAAAAAAGAAAAGAAAAAGCGTGGAGGAAATCTACATATTGATGAAGTATATTTAGTTAGTTTTTTGAATTATTTTAAATTTGTATTGAAATATAATGTGTACATAGAAAAATGTAGAAATTTTAAGCATATAACTTGATGAATAATACAAAAATAAGTATATTTATGTAATTACCGCTCAAGCCAAGAAACAGAACATTACCTATAGTCTCCAACTCCCTCCCAATCACTTTCTATCACACTTATTCAATTGTAATTTCTGTCTTGACGTTAAACTCTGAAGATTAATTTTAATTACCTTGAACTGTACTCAAATTGATTCATAGAACATGAATCCTTTTGTGTCACTTTTACTCAAGATCTTTTAGTGAGATTCACATACACTAGTGTAGTAGTAATGTGTTCATTGTTATTGGCATATACTATTCTGTTATATGACTATACTACAAATTATTTATCCTTATACCATGAATGGACATTTAGGTTGCTTCCTTTTGGGGACTATAGTGAATAATGCAGCTATGAAAATCATCATGGATGTCTTTTTTTTTTTTTTTTTTTTTTGAGCTAATTCATGTACCATGAAATTAACAATTTTCAAATGTGCAATTCAGCATTTTTTAGTGTACTCACAAAGTTGTGCAATATCACCGTTATCCAATTCCAGAACCTTTTCATCACTCAAAAAGAAACACCATGCCTCCGGGGCGCCTGGGTGGCTCAGTTGGTTAAGCGACTGCCTTCGGCTCAGGTCATGATCCTGGAGTCCTGGGATTGAGTCCCGCATCGGGCTTCCTGCTCGGCAGGGAGTCTGCTTCTCCCTCTGACCCTCCCCGCCTCATACTCTCTCTATCTCATTGTCTCTCTCAAATGAATAAATAAAATCTTAAAAAAAAAGAAACACCATGCCTCCATTAGCAGTCACTCCCCATTCTCTCCTCCCCCAGCACCTGGAAACCATAATCTAATTTACGTAGATAAGGATTTGCCTGTTCTGAACATTTCATATAAATGTTATCATATGTGACCTTTTCTCCCTGGCTTCTTTCACCTAGCCCAATATTTTAAAGTTCCATCCATGTTGCAGCATACATCTGTACTTAATTCCTTTTTATGGAAGAATAACACTCACATTGTTTATCCATTCATCATTTGTTAAACACTTATGTTGTTTCTACTTCCTGATTATTGTGAATAATATTGTTGTGACATTTGTGTGCAAACTTTTCTGTGAATATCTATTTCCAATTCTCTTGGGTATATTCACAGACAAAGGTATATTCTCTTTTTCTTTATAAATCTTTTTATTTAAAGGAATCAACTTTTGGTTTCATTAGTTTTCTCCATTATTTTTCAATTTTTATTCTTTTCATTGTGTTTTATTTATTTTCGTTTTAATCTTTCTTATTTCCTTTCTTCTGCTTGCTTTGGATTTAGTATTCTTAGAGGAGACAACAGGCTCAAAATGGAGTCATTAGTGCTAAGCTCTACATCAGCAAACCAAGACTTAATACTTAACATAACTGGAGTTTCAGCTTCTCCCAGGATTGTAGCCTTTAACCAGCTGATCTGGAATTACCTACTCTGCACTATTGAGGTAATCCACCTGATAGACCCCTTTCCATCCCGAAAAGGAAGGTGACCTCACCTGAAACAATACACTTTTTTCCTTGTCTTGCCCCCTTTCTGCTTTTAAAAGCCTTCCATTTTGTATAGCTCATCAGAGCTCCTATTTGTTAGATGAGATGCTGCCTGATTCATGAATTGTTGAATAAAGCCAATTAGATATTCAAGCCAAATTTACTCAGTTGAATTTTGTTTTTTAACAGATTTGGAGGCAACATCAGGACAGAAGGAGATTTCCCACAGCTTTGGGAACAATGAGAAACACAGTCATGGTACCCACAAACCCTTTTGAGTTCTGTGTCTTTCTTGATGTGTCCAAGGACTGTGGGTAAGTTCCTCTTGGTTCTGACCTCTGCTCTCTTTGCATTGAGCTCCCAGTCTTATTGGCGTTCCAAGCAGGTCCCCCTTTGATTGGAATTCTTATTCCTTACTGGGAACTGTTAGTAGTTCAGACAACA